GAGAGGAGGGACGGAGAGGAAGGAAGGACAACAACGCAGAACACGTCCCAAGGCGCCAGCCTGCCCCAAACGCCCGAAGACGGCCCAGTGAGCCCCAACGGAGCCCCGTGAGGCGTCCAAGACGCCCCCCCCCCCACGAGGCCTCCAGGATGTCCGCAAGATGCCCCCAGAGAGGAGTGAAGGAGAGGAAGGAAGGACAACAACGCCGAACACGAGGAGATATACCCAGACACGAAGCGGAGGATCGTGCTACATGTTACGACTGTGCCACGCCTCGGGGCACGAGGTGTCGCAACTCACGGCTTCCCGTGCGCGCCTCGAACGGACGCCACCCCAGAGTGCTGGGCTGGTGCAGTGATGCGACTCGGCATTGTCCAGAAACCTAGCTTCTGCGAGACGAGTTGCCTGAGACAGGGATGGACTTGGTGGACATCTTTTTCTTCCAATGATCTGGCGGACAGAATCTACATAATAACACATCATGAAATGATACCTTAGAAAAACCCAATCAGGGCTATAGGGCTATAGGGCTAGGGGGCTATAGGGTTATAGGGCTATTGAGCTATAGGGCTATAGAGCTATAGGCTATGGAGTTGTAGGGCTATAGGGCTATTGGGCTAGGGCTTAGCTAGGGCTATAGGGCTATAGGGCACCCCCGGGCACGCCCGGGCACCCGGGCACCCGGGCTTGCAGCGAAAATCGGCGGCAAACCTAACCTAACCATATGAATCCGCTGGGACCCCTGCAGAGGCAAGCTCTGATTGGGGGAACTGGTAAAAGAACCTCGGGGCATGACCTCGGGTTTAAACGCAGCGCTAGGGGACCAGTGTGGACCAATGATGGACTTGGTGGACTGGCCAGGTGTTCGCCATTCCCGGCTGTTCGGACTGCAGGCGCGGCATGGGTGCGGTGCCCGATGCTTGGGCCCAGTGGTTTTGGACATGAGGACAGCAACGTTTGGTGCCGAGACCCCATCATTTAGGCTTCGGATGGAAGCTGTTTCAAATTTGGTCCCAGACGGATGCACGTTGTTGCCTGGGCCTCTGCTAGCTTAGATTCCCAGGATGGGCTCTGGGCAATTTTGTCTTGACGAGCTGGGGTCTCTCTTAACCCGGACGAGCCATGCGGCAGGGCATGTAGGAGCGCTGACAACCATGGGTTGACTCCCTGGTGTGGAGAGGCTTATTATCGACTTCCTGGGTGTAGCAAGTATGCACGTCTGGTCCCTGGACAGGCTATACAATACACGTGGCTTCTAGTTGGGAGCCAACGCGTTAGCAGTGGGTCAGCGCGTCCTCTGGACGACGACGTCCATTAAAAACTCAAGCCCGCGTGTCAGAGAAAGGGATCACCCCTGGCACGGGAGAGCGGCTATCGGACCAGGCCGCCAGAGCTGCCGCTTTGACCAGCAGGCCCTTGGTGCCAGCGAAGCTGAAGACGCTGTAGCCGAGGCCCAGGCCTCGAACGTCCATCTGGTGTGCATTGCGAAGGCCACCCCGCTCTGGGCAAAGGAGCGCCCCCTGGCCCCGTCCCCGCTGTGGGCAACAGGAACGGGAGGAGGCCCTGCCCCGACCTCAGGCGCCGCGGTGGGGCTGGAGGCATTTGGCTCACGGGAAGGCCGCGGCGGGGCGGTTAGCGCCGCCAAAGCCCCCGTGCCTCCGCTGCCTGTTGGCCTGCTGTGGTGGAGGTGGGGCGCCAAGACGCCCCATGCAGGCCCCTGATGTCGATGGCCCGCCGATTGTTGCAGTTGCAGGTGACAAGCTGGCACTGGCCTGGACACCCTCGGCCGAAGGCCGAGAAAAGTAGCAGAGGGTGAGGAAGAAGCCGGCCAACAATAGCCGAAGGCCGCTCCCGGCTGGAGTCAAAAACAATGGGACGACCCCCGATGGCCCGCCGACCGTCCTTCATGACCGGCGAACATCTCCGTATCCGCGCCCTCGCGGTCTGGATACCGGGGCGCGATCCCGCGGATACGCGGTCGCACGGATACGTGCCACACGGGGCATCCGCGAGAAGCAACGACGCCTCGCATCTGCCTGGGCGCGGCCCAGGAGTCCCGGCCAGCGAGGCCGCGGAGATGGATCTGTCTTTCGCCTCGGGCTCCTCCCTCCTCCCCACCCCTCCCGATCTCGAGCGCGGTCGTCGTGGACGTATCCTTCCGGCGTTGCCCCCCTGCACGGGACCACCAACTGGAGGGGGCTCGTCACCGCTGGGCCCGCAGGCGGTGCGTGAGACGCGCCGACCGTGCTCTGGGCCGTGCTGGCGCGGGGCACAGCCCGATCGTGACCGCACCTGTGCCGGAGAGGCACAGGCACACGTTGCATATCACGGCAGGCACACGTCACCTTCTCTCCTTCCCGGCGTTTGCGCGAATGCGCCGCCAGCGCGCACAATCTTTGAAGTCCTCGCGATGGCACCGGTGCAATCCGGCCGAGGCCCCGGGCTACAAACCGGGCTGTCCCAGCGTTCGTTGTGGTTTGGCTCGTTGCCCCGTGCGTCCGCCGAAAAAAAAAAGCAGCGCCCGACGGGATACCCATAATTTGCGTGAGCTGCAGCTGCATTTCGGCAGGAGTCCCAACCGGCAAGCTCGGCGAGCCGCTCAAGAACGCTCCAGCGAGCGACCAGACTACGTGAGTCCGACGTGAGCCGAATCCTTGAAGCCAGCCGCCTCAGCCACAGACGTGGAAAGCCGCCGCGATCTGAGGACTCGATCCCAACGGTTTTTGCTCCTGTAGCGTCCGACATTGGAGCCGTCGGATGCCGCCTCCGCCACTCTGGATGCGCACTCGGCTCCGCACGGCTCTGCACGAGATCGGCGGCCGCAGGACTCAGGGCTCGGCTCCGCAAGGGGCCACGGAGGAGATTCTACTCGGCGGCGAGCGGGGGGGGGGACGTGAGAAGGGAAAGGCCTTCTCAAAAGGCGGCAGGACTTTTCAGAAGCCCTCGCGCCTTCTGAGAGAACATCTTCTTCTTTCCTCGGGGAAGGCTCCGAAGACTTCTCGGGAGGCCGGGGGACTTACGAGACTTCCAAGAAGACCCGCCCCCCTTCTCCAGAACGCAGTGGCTCGCTCGCCACCGATCTCCAGAACGCAGTGGACGCAGACAGGAGGCACTCTGGCACAGTGTGTCGCCGGTGGCGGCCCCGGCGAGGCGCCATGGCCTCCGCTCTCCGCGGGGCGGGGGGCTCGAGAAAGGCTCGAGGCGCTGGAGCCTGGGGACCGGATCGTGGATACTCCAGATTTCGTTTTAAAAGGGAGGGGGTCACAACCCTCCCAGACGAGAAGTTTTAGACCCCCCCCCAGACCATCCATGAAAGGGCGGCCCTTTGCCTAGACCCCACCGAGCCCTCCAAGATAGCTCAAATCGTACCCCCCCCAAAGTGTGACCCCCCCCCCCAATGTATTATGGAATCCGGAGTAGCGTGCTGAGCATTTCCTGATTCGGCGTTCGGACAGTGGGCGGAAGAGGGGGGGGCGGGGAGGGGGGAGGGGGGGCCGGGGGCTGGCTCTGGACCTCTGCTTGGTGCGACCGTTTGAGACAGTGCGTCCACTAACCCCAGGAAACATTTAAGAACCCCCCCCCCCTTCCGGCAAATCGATAACCCGTCCGCACCCTGGAAGCGTTACCTGGCACCAGGAGCCCTCTCCTTGTGTCCGGGTGCTAAAGCTACCGTTCGGTTATTTCGGCCCCTCGGAATATCGAATAAAAAATGCGGTGCTACGATATCGCCGGGGGGGTTCTTAAATGCTTCCTGGGGTTAGGGGGGAGGCTCCAGCTGCTCGAAACGGGCGCCCAAAGCAGCCAAGATCTGCTCCATGGGGGGGGGTAGGGGGCGGGGCGCGCGAGGGCCCGCGCTGGTCGGCAAAACACTGGAGAAGAAGCCGATCACGTAGCGTGTCGCACCGAAGCGCGTTGGGCCAGAGCCAGCGGAGCGCCGCGCCATCCAAAAGTTTCCGACTGTAGTTTAAGTCGGGCATGTCCCTCTACAGGAGGAATGTTCAAAAACAGCGAAAACATGCTGTGGGGATGGTGTTTCGACTATTTTGGGCTGTTTTCGAACACTTTTTTTTCACAGTTTTTGAATTGTCCTTCAACATCCGCCTGTGGGAGGACATGTCCCACCTAACTGTAGCCAGCAGTGATGTGAGCCAGTTGAAGCCCGCCTCAAATCCTAGCGCACGTGGTGCGGCCAGGTTCGCGTTGCCGCTTTCGCGACCCGACTGGCGACGGTCCCCTGGGCTTGCAGCCTGCTGGCGCTGTGGGCGTGCGTGCAGGAGGTCGGGCGTGTCGGCGGTTTGCTGGGTCGGATGCTTCCATGCTTCCGGTGTGGGGTGGGCTTGGTGGGTGAGGCGGTGGCGAGCTCTTGACAGACCACCTGTGCTACTTGTCCGACCTTGTCTGCACCTACGGCCGAACACTATTTTGGAAAGTGGTTCACGGATCGATGCTTGTACTCCAGCCTTTTTTGTTCAGACGCGTACAGATAAGAAAAGACACCCTCGGTGAGCCCTGGCTGACCTCCCGCCTGCCAGGGCGGACACTCGTTCGAGAACAGCTTCTCGGGTATCGTGCCCCAGGCCATCTCTACCCTGACATATGATACCAGTGGCACGATGCCAGACTGGTGTGGCAGGGTGGGGTGCCCCTAATCGCCGCGCGCGCCAGCGGCCGCTCACCGGAATGGCCAGAAGCCGCCCGCATCCTCCGGGATGTCCAGCTTGGCCTCGAAGTAGCCGCCCCACTGCAAGCCGCACTGCGCCACTCGCCCGGAGAGGCTGCCTGGAGCGGGTTCGTTCATGGATAGGGGGACAAAAAGTGGCATAAACATAAAAACTCGGAGGTCCGCGCGAATTTCTCAGATCCGCGCTGTACCCCCTTGGCGGCGCCTTCGGCGCCGCCCCTGGCGCACTCCGCGCGCCAGGGAGGGGGGTTCAGCGCCGATCCGAGAAATCCGCGCGGACCTTCGAGTTTTTATGTTAATGTCACTTTTTCTTCCCCTAATGGAGGCCGTCAGCACGGTGTCCAGATCCTTGAAGAGCACCTGCCCTGGGGCGGAGCCCCTCTGAACCTTGCAGCCGCCCTCGAAGGCTGGGGCCGCCTCCTCTGTAGCCGTGGGCTTCTGGATGCTCCAGGTGCCCTCGCTGTCGCCGGGGCCAATCTCGATGATAATAAGGGGAACGAAAAAAAAAACGCATACACATAAAAGCTCGGAGGTCCGCGCGGATGTCTCTGACCGGCGCTGGACACCCATCCCTGGCGCGCGGAGCGTGCCAGGGGCGGCGCCGGAGGCGCCGCCAAAGGGGTCCAGCGCGGATCCGAGAAGTCTGCGCGGACCTCCGAGTCTTGATGTTTATGTTATTCTTCGCTCCCTTAGATGAGGCTGAACTTGTCACCCCGAGTCAAGACCGGATGCTTCAGCCAGCCCGTGAAGCGATCACCCGCACGGATCTCGGCCAGCGGTGGCGGGGGCGGCGCCGGCGCTGGCGCTGGCGCCGTCTCCTCGCCCTCCTCAGACTTCTCCGACGCCATGATTTCTTTTCCTGACGTCGACCCCCAGAGGCCTGGACCCCTTCCCCAGGACCGGTTTTTCACCCTGAGTTTTATGTTACTCCCGTCGTACTTAATGACCACATCCCAGAAATAATGTCGAGCCCCCAGAAAAGTATGGAAACAGTGTCGAACGAGTATCGCCTCCCAGGGCCCGACACGTGAAAACCCTACCGTTTTGGTATTTTCTCGGTGCTCGAAATTCTTTCGGGTGATCAAGGCTAAAGTAGGTTGGAACATCACAAATCTTGCATCATTTTTGGTCGGCCCCGAGGCCCGGGCAGGGCTCCCGGAGGCCGCAAACAGCGAAGAACCTCCCTGAATTGCTCACAACGCGCCCAGAGCCGATGTCGTGACTTTTAACCCGCGGTCCCCGAAACCTCGACCCGCTCCCCAGGACCTGCTCTTCCTCCCGAGCCGCTCCTTGACGGGCCCCGGGGCCCGGCGAAGGCTCCTGTGGAGGCCGACGGTTGCGACACACCTCCGCCTTGCTGTTTTTTTTCCATGCGTTGGAGCTCTGGGGTCGTGCTTTTTTTGTTTGGAGGGGCCCTGGCACACACACACACACATCAATACACACGAATAACAAGATCCCCAATCTTTTCTTCCCATATTTCCTAGGGTTCCGTCTTCCCCCCCACCATTTCCCATCTTTTCCCATCTTTTCTTGGGAATCGAGGATGCACTGTGTCTCTGTGTTTCCTTCCCTCCTGATCCTCGTCGCCGCCCCTCGCGGCCAGGCGCACGCGGCCGCCGCAGGCCCACGGCGCCGCCGGCGCCGCGGGCCGGGGCCAGGCCGCCCAGAAGGCCTGGGGTTATGGGTCGGGCACGCCCTGCCACGGTTGGGTCGGGCGGGTCCTCCTGCAGGCGGAGTCTGGGCGAGAAGTAAGACATTAGAAACGCATGCCTCACACCAAAATCAAACATAGTCGAAAGATCGTTCCCGGATTCCTTATTTTTTTTGTTGTTGGGACTATTTTTGAATATTCCTCCTGTAGACACGGACACGCCCGACTTAATCCTAGAGGCGGATTCTGTGAGAAAAGCAATCCAAACACAGTCAAGCAATCATCTCGGCGGCGAGCGGTGGGGGAAGTGAGAAGGGGCGGGCCTTCTCAGAAGGGTCGGGAATCCCCGGGCCTGTGGCCAAGCTTTCTGAGCCTTCCCCCGAGTCAAAACAAAACCTCCCAAGAAGGCCGCAGGGCTTTTGAGAAGTCCCGCCGCCTTCTGAGAGGGCTTTCCCTTCACTTCCCCTCCCTCGCTCGCCGCCGATGGTCAAAAAGGTACGACAAACGGTCCCCAGACTATCTCTCTACACGTCGTTCATGTCTAGCCGTGCTCATTTCTAATTGTGCTCGTTGCTAATTGCTCCTGGCCCCCCAGTGGCCAGGAAGAGGCCCAGGATAGAAGAACAATTAGACATGAAAGGATCTCGGCCCCCCAGAAACCCAAGAACCTTCGAAGAGTTAGAAATGCACAATGTGTACCATCCTCGAACATTCCTCCCGTGGAGGAGGGACGTGCCCCCCTTGAGGCCTGGGGCCCCGCGGCCACGCGCGCAGCCACCGCCAGGGCGCCGGAGGTGCACCTCAGCAGCCAGCGCGGCGCCGCCGCCCTCGCGGGGCGGGGCCGCCCCCGTCGGGCCTCTCGGCGTCCATCCCCGCCTCCCCAGACCTCCTCGCGCCATGCCTCCTCCTCCTCCTCCTCCTCCTCCTCCTTCTCCCCTCTCTCCTCCTCCTCCTCCTCCTCCTTCCTCCTCCTCCTCCTTCTCCTCCTCCTCCTCCTCCTCCTCCTCCTCCTCCTCCTCCTCCTCCTCCCCCTCCTTGAGAACTCCTCGAGAACTCGCGGCGCGAGGCCTTTCGTGAGCCTCGGCCTCTGGGGACCCTCACCGGGCCCCGGGGCCGCCAACCGAACGACCCGGGAGGAAGCACCGGTGCTGGGGACGGGGTGGCAACCTTCGGGGGCCGACGCTGTGGCAAGAGTCATGGCGTCGGGGGTCTGGGTCCCTGGAGCGTGCGGAGGGCGCCTCGGCGGTCCAAGGGCTTGACGGGCATGCCAGCTCCGGCCCCCCGGGCGGCCCGGGACACACGGCCCTTGAGCCCAACCAAGCGGCTACGGTTGTGGTCGAAGAGCTTGTGGCAGGAAGATCCTCGCTTCGGACCGAGACTTTCGTCGGTCGCGCCTGTTGCAAATTTTTCATGTGCTGCGTCGTAGAAAAGTGCGTCGTTTTCGGTCCTCCAGTGTTTTGTCGGTCCCGTGCATCAGTGAGCGCTGAAGTTCATGAGCACACAAACAGCACGCATATCTATACGACCCCCAGATTGCTCGGGGTGGATTCTATGGGATCCCATAGAATCCACCCCGAGTGCTCGAGTGCTATGGGTGTGTTTGTTTGTGTGTGTGTTTTCGGATGGGGCTCCCCGCTCGATGGGGAGCCCCCCTCGGGGAATGACAACTCGCACCCATACCTGTAGCGCCTTCATCGGCTCCCTTCCCCATTCCTCCTCCCTGTAGGTTTGAGCGCCGCTCAGTTCTTTCATGAGAAGTGCGGTTAGGTCGGGCAGGTCCTCCTACTGGCGTATTTTGGGCGAAAAATCAAAAATAGTCAAACAATTCTTATAATCGTCGAAAAATCGTTCCCTGATTTTTTTTTGTGTTTTGAATCTTCCTCCTAGAGGGGCATGCCCGACTCAAAGTACGGCTGAGTTGGACTGACTTGTCCTATCCAAGCTCGCCAGCTCGTCATGTCGCTTGCTTGCGCCCTGCTGCTTTTTTTGCAGTGCGGCCGCGGTTGGCCCCTCCTGGTGCTTTTCGGCGACGTCCACGGCTGGCCCTGGTGGGCCTCCCCTCCCTCCTCCGTCCTTCTCCTTCGGGGTGGAAGGTAGGGGCCTGGGTGACTTTTGAAGCCTGGGCAAGGCGGAATGTAAACACTGCCCTGCGTACCGCATTTTTGAGCTCGAGGCTCCACCCATCCTGGTGCCCCCCCCCCCAACGGAGGAGGGGAGGGGGTAGACTGCGCTGCGGGGCATGACGCTTCCTCCTGCCGAGTCGATCCGATCCGATCCTGCTCCTTCGCAGCTCTCTTGGCTCAATCCCCAGACCCGCCCCCATTTCAGGGAGCACGCACCTTCATCAAATTCTGGTCACATCTTCTTCCGCCTTTCTTTCGGGGCACTGTACCGTCTCCGTGCGGCGGCACAAGAGACCCGAGTCTAGGATTAAGTCGGGCCTGTCCCCCTATAGGCCGATTTTGGACGAAACATGGAAAAAACAAAAAAAACCAAAATGCACCAAAGATGCTCAAACAATATTCCCCCTGTAGAGGGACAGGCCCGACTTGAGTCAAGGATTATGTTGCTGTCCGCACGCCGCCTCGCAGAGAGCACCGACCACGCCCCACGCGAGGCCGATCGGACAACACCAGCAACCTTCTGCCTCGCTCCTCGTCCGTCCGTCCCTCCTTCTGCTGCTCTCCGCCAGGGGGCCCACAAAAAACGCGCGCGCGTTCACCGCGTACACGAGCACGGCCCCCCACTCCGTGAGACCAACTTCGTGATGCGAACGCTCGCGCAACGCGTACTTTCGAAACCCACGAGGAGTCATGTACGCGTACGTCCTTCTTTCGCTCCTGAGTGTTTCTCCCCTCGGCTGCCGCGGTCCCCGCTGCACTGGCTGGCCGCTCAGGCCCGCCCACCGCGGAACTCTTCCATGTCTGATCGCCCTCCCCCTCCACCCTTTGCGCAGCCGCCGTCGTGTTCGCCTCTCTCTCTCTCTCTCTTGCACGCCGGACAATTTGCCTGTCGGTTGCCCTGATTTGCCCCACGCTGGTGCGGATTGCCTCCGCCTCGCCGCCGACGAAACAAGTTTTCCCCGAGGATGCCAGCTGTGGTAAAGCAACAGAACACGGCATAAGCACAAACTGTTGACGGCCCGCGCGGATGTCTAGGATCTGCGCTGAACCCCCCTCCCTGGCACGCGGAGCGCGCCGGGGGCCGCCGTCAGTGAGGGCCCAGCGCCGATCCAGGAGGGGGAGGATGAGGAGGATGAGGAGGATGATGATGATGAGGAGGAGGAGGAGCAGCAGAAGGAGAAGCAGGAGGAGGAGAAGGAGGAGGAGGAGGAGGAGGAAGAACTAGAATTCCGAGAGGACCGTCAACAGTTTACGCTCATGCCGCTTCCTGTTCTTCGATGTGGGATCGGCCTCCTGGCCCCTGGGGTGCTGCATCCCATTGGCCCTCGGGCCGGGGTCCCCCCTGTCTCGGGGGGAGGAGGAGGAGGAGGAGGAGGAGGAGGAGGAGGAGGAGGAGGAGGAGGAGGAGGAGGAGAATGAGGAGGAGGAGGAGGAGGAGGAGGAGAATGAGGAGGAGGAGGAGGAGGAGGAGGAGGAGGAGGAGGAGGAGGAGGATGAGGAGGCGGAGGCGGAGGCGCATTTTGTGCCGGCGCGCGCGCGCGCCACCGGGGCTCGGGCTCCAGGCCCGTCGGGCCCGCTGGGCCTCCCTTCGGTGCAAGACACTTGTTCGTCGCCCGGCGGGTCCTCTCTTGATTTTCCCGCCCTTGGGGGTTCCAGCGGCAGCCTTCGCGGAGAGCGCTCCCTCCACATCTCGCCGAGACACCCGCTGCTGCCCAGGCCGGGTCATCTCCCTGCAGCTGCCGCTGCCCGCCTCTGCTTCCATGCGACAACACGAGAGTTGCGGGCCCAGCAGTCGCGTCTTATCTTACAGTCGGCCCGTACCATAAGGATGCGCGATAAGGAGGCAAGGGCCTTGGACGCCCATTTCGAAGCTTTTCGAGCGGAGCGCGGCCAACGAAAATGGCCAAGGATGGACCGAGGAGGAAAGGATGCAAGGGCACCCATGGGAAGGATGCCCATCCTTACTGTGTGGGTTGACTGTACCCCCCCCACGAGAAATTTCCATGCCTCTGGGCAGCGCTTCCAGAAGATCCCCGCTCTCCCAGAAGAAGAAATAACGCCACAAGCAGAAACTTCTGGCGCTCCTCGCGGATTTCTTGGATTCGCGGGGAGTGCCAACAGTCTATGATTATGGCGTTTTTTCTTCTTCGACCCCCCCTGGAGGAGGGAGGAGGAGGAGGAGGAGGAGGAGGAGGAGGAGGAGGAGGAGGAGGAGGAGGAGGAGGAGGAGGAAGAGGAGAAGGAGGAGGAGGAGGAGGAGGAGGAGGAGGAGGACGATGGAGGATGGAGGATGGAGGATGGGATGGAGGATGGAGGATGGAGGAGGAGGAGGAGGGGAGGAGGAGGAGGAGGAGGGAGGGAGGAGGAGGAGGAGGAGGAGGAGGAGGAGGAGGAGGAGGAGGAGGAGGAGGAGGAGGAGGGAGTTCAGCTTCCCCCCTCCGCCTGCGCAGCGGAGGCTGCTGCCACTCTGGCGCGATGGCTGCCCCTCCAGGCAGACCGTTGAGGGAAGGACGGGCCGCGGGTGAACACGTGGCACGCGTGCCCTGGCTTTTGCACAGTCGGACAACGAAGGACGGGGGGAGGAGGACGAGCCACGAACCACCAACATAAAGGGCTCCGCGACCCAGGGGAGCTGCCCTGGGAGGCCCCGGGGAGCCAGGAAGCCAGGGGGGAGGCCAGGGGAAGAGGACGAACAAGGGAGGAGGACGAACCACGAACCACGAACATAAAGAGGTCCGAGCTCTAGAACACAGCTGTGCAAGGTAATTAAATCCTTGTTGGCCAGAGCCCTGGATGGGAGGGGTCAGGGCGCCCCTCGAGACTTCTGAGGCGGAGACGCGCTACCTTGCTTCGAGCAGCGCCCCCCACTCGGCAGCCGCTTGGAGTGGGCTCAGACTCTGCCTTTTACGTGTGAGGAGAAGCGCAGCGGCTGAAGCGTGATTTCTCGGAGGGCCGCGCGGACCTCCGAGAAATCATGTTTATGCATTTAGCTGCTCTTCGATTGCGTGTCTCTGGGGTGCAATCTCTCCGTGCTTTGTGTTTGGCGAGGCCGTCGGATAAGGAACCCTTGGGTAAAGACTCCCATCGTGGATTGGCCATGGATGCCAGCCGCCGCCCTCATCAGATAGGGAATCATCCAAGGTGTGCTGTACACATCCAACAGCCCCGCCGCATTGAGGGGCAACGATAAGGGGGGGATAGGCATAGGGGGGGATGCATCGACCTGGAATCGGCGCTACATCGCCGATAGATCGGCGATGGGCCGCCGATGGTGAATCCGCACCTTCCTGGGCAGGCCGGGGCCATCGGACCCCTAACTGTCGGCGATCAGTGAGCGATTGGGGGTCGACGCATCCACCCCCTGTGCATATCCCCCCCTATCGTTGCACCTGACGCGTGCACGGCTCTGTACGTCTTGATCGTCACGCCCTCGGGGCGCGCTCGGGCGGCCAATTCGCACCCGCCCGCCGCCCGTGGCGCCCGGAGGCCCAGGTCCGGCCGAGGTCGGAGCGCTCCCCCTCCGGCGTCGGGCCGGGATCCCGGCCAGGCCGGTCCTGGTCCCAAGATCGGCGCGTTCGCCCTCCCAGAGATCCAACGCATTGAAAAATCAAAACGGAGGTTTCTCTCAATTTTGGGCCTCCAGGGGCCCTCGCCGGGCCCCGGGACCGTCAAAAAACGACTCAGGATGACAAAACGGTCCTGGGGAACGGGTCGAGACTTCGGGCGACCGCGTATTGAAAAAATCACGACGTCGGATCTCTGGGCTCTCGGCCTGGTCCGGGAGGCATCTGCAGCCCTCCTGGGTCCAGGATGGGTCTGGTGCGGGTCGGCGCACGTGTACCTGTCGTCGCGCGAGGCCAGGCAGGGTCTCCCGAGGAAGCAACGCAACGACGGCGGCCATAACGGCGACTTCGACGGCGACGACGACGGCAACGATTACGACGATAACGATCACGACGGCCACGAAGGCTGTCGTCGTTGTCGCGATGCTCATCGCTGTCTCCCGCTGCTTCGGGGGACTGGCTCTGGGACTGGCCGCCCGAATTCACTAGGATGATTGTGGTCCGGGGTAACTTCTGTTTGGGCCCCCGAGGCACGAATCTGCAGCTACCCTTGACTTCTCCCGGTCCTGATGGCTCGGAGGAGGGAGGAGGAGGACGAGGAGGAGGAGGAGGAGGAGGAGGAGGAGGAGGAGGAGGAGTA